TGTGTGTGTGTGTGTGTGTGTGTGTGTGTTGCCTACATTCAAGAGATTATTATTATTATTATTATTATTATTATTATTATTAAACGTGGGCGAACAGAATCACCAGTGTGGGGTTTCCTGTTCCACTGGCAATAGCGTGACTAGGGAGCGATAAACCTTCTCTCATTGTCTTAATAGTAAACACAGAACAGCAATTAAGACACCAACACTCGGTCTCTGTGTGGACGATAAGAACCCCGAAAACCTGTTATTGGGAGGCTCATAATAACGCTAGAATTTACTTGTGATTTCTGTACACATTCCACAGTTCTTTGTCAGTGAATTAGTTTCATTCACAGTATATAGAAATATGTAGAGTTAATGTATTTGACGGGATAGTGATGTAGAATATGACAATGGCGGTCGACCGTTCTTGTTGACTTTCCTTGCGTGTAATTATAGATCTGTTGTTCATGGGGAGACTAAAAAGGAATTCTTGACGTCTGACTTGAACAAGATGTAATGAATAATTCCCCAGAATACGAATATACCTGGAGTCTGAGGCGTGACAGGTGTGCTGAATAATTAAGGTGCTACATACACTGGCTCTCACGTGCCCGGCCAATAGTCTATACTGCTGAGTATTGTAAATGAAAATACTGATAAATATTATTTTGCTGGAGAGAGATTTGAGATACCTGTATATATATATACACTGTATTACACTTGGTAATAAACATCTTAACGCTAACCTAACCTAACCTAACCTAACCTAACTCCGCCAGATAGCGTCAGGGTGTGTATGAATCAGGGTATATATGCGTGGGTGTTTAATCTTCAAGTGATCTAAATTCTTTACAGCACTCTTTGTAACACTTAAATGGGCATATAATCAATTAAGATGGTTCCCTCGATATTACTTGACATTTTCTGTGGTGTAGTTATGACGTCATCGATCAAACCCGTAATGTTACGGTTCATCTGGGTTTATTTTTTTTATTTTTTTTTTTACGGGGATTAGTCCACCCGGGCACAGGTCACTGACCCACATCAGGGCCTGGGGGGAGTAATAATAATAATAATAATAATAATAATAATAATAATAAACCACAAAGAAATACAAATAAGAAACATTAGTTATTTTTAACAAAAGAACAGCCTTAGATACAAAAAAACACATTAGGTAACAAGAAAACAGCATTAGGTAACAAGAGAACAGCATTATACAACAAATTAAAGCATTATATAGCATATTACAGCATTATGCAAAAAATAACAGCATTATATAACAAATAACAGCATTATATAACAAATAAAGCATTATACAACGAATAACAGCATTATATAACAAATAAAGCATTATACAACGAATAACAGCATTATATAACAAATAACAGCATTATACAGCAAATAACAGCACACCAAGGTTCCTCCGCCATTACCTGTTTCTTGTTGTTCTCGGAAATGAAGAGGAAATTGATGTGTCCAGGTTTTTCATCGTTATATTTTCCTCCAGTTAAGGTCAATCTTCTTATTTTTCCTCCAGTATTAGTGAATTTCTTTTTTTCCTCCAGTTAAGGTCAATCTTCTTATTTTTCCTCCAGTTATGGTCAATCTTCTTATTTTTCCTCCAGTTAAGGTCAATCTTCTTATTTTTCCTCCAGTATTAGTGAATTTCTTCTTTTTCCTCCAGTTAAGGTCAATCTTCTTATTTTTCCTCCAGTATTAGTGAATTTCTTTTTTTCCTCCAGTTAAGGTCAATCTTCTTATTTTTCCTCCAGTATTAGTGAATTTCTTTTTTTCCTCCAGTTAAGGTCAATCTTCTTTTACCTCCAATAAAAGTGAATTTCTTCTTTTTCCTCCAGTAATAGTGAATTTCTGCTATTTCTTTAATAAGTAAATCAAATGTTTTTCGTTAACATACTGTATTTACGTTGTCTTGGTTAATTTGGGAATTGCGCTACGTATTTTCCCTTATAGTTTCGTGAGGATTTTTCATAGAATTTAGATAATCGTTTCGTTTTCTTTCGCTATCTCGACATGAGCGATAGTCACGTGCAGTTTTCCCATTTTATTTCATCATTTCAATAGATTTTGGTTATTCAGATCTAACATTTTTTTTTTGTTCGTTGTCAAGATAGATTAAATTTAGATCGTGTTTTTAAATTTTTTTCGTCATCACGAAAGATTGAATTTTGACCTGCATTTCATATTGATTCATTAGAGATGTAATGTTTTTTTATTATTTTTTCCTCACTAGTATCACTCGTTAAAGGTCGCCCTAGTGTATGTACAGTACAGCATGTATGTATGAAATTAACGGTTTATTGAAAAAGTTCAGCATCCCGAAGGCTGAAAATATACAGTAGACAAAAAGTGACTTATTACATACAAATACATGGAGTGGGTGGGTTGTTTAACAAAAGCTCTCATTACTAAAAAGAGAAGGAACATGAATTGAACATACAAATTATTATAGCTTGTAGTTGATGGCCCGGGCTGGTCTCTTGCCATACTGTGTGAGGTCACGTAGGTCACATGGTTCAGTAACTCGTCCTCTGGTGTTGATATGAAGGATCTCACGTGGCCATGGAGACACCGGGTGCTGTGATGTTCAGGTAGTGCAGTAACTCGTCCTTAGGTGTTGATATAAGAACATAAGAACATAAGAAAATAAGGAGTCTGCAATAGCTCGGTTGGCCTGTGCATGGCAGCTCCTGTCGAGGGTTACTACCACTCTCTATCATCCATGAGTCTATCTAGCCTCCTTTTAAAACTTTCCAGCGTTCCAGCTCTTACTACAAAGTTGCTAAGCTTGTTCCACTCGTCCACCACCCTATTTGTGAACCAGTTTCTTCCTATCTCCCTCCTAAACCTAAACTTATCCAACTTAAATCCGTTGCTACGAGTCCTATCCTGCTCGGATATTATAAGAACTTTATCAATATCTCCTTTATTGATTCCTTTAACCCACTTAAATACTTCTATCATATCTCCCCGCACTCTTCGTCTTTCTAGGGAATGCAAGTTTAGTTTCTTTAACCTATCTTGATATGGAAGGTTTCTAAGTCCGGGAATCATTTTCGTCATTCTTCGCTGCACGACTCCAGTGAATTGATATCCATTCTATAATAAGGGCACCAGAACTGAACCGCATAATCGAGGTGCGGCCTGACTAGCACAACATATAGTTGCAATAAGACCTCTGCACTCTTATTACTTACACTTCTAGATATAAAACCCAATACTCTGTTTGCCTTATTTCGAACATTAACGCACTGTTTTCACAAGTCGACTTCTCTAGGTTGATGTTGTTAATGCTGTATACATTGACAGTATTTGTTCTTCCAATATTAAGTACGCTGCACTTGCTGGTGTTGAATTTCATTTGCCATTTTTCTGACCATTCCTGCAGTTTATTTAAATCCTCCTGTAGTGCATTTGCATCCTGCCCTGAATTAATCTGCCGCCCTATTTTGGTGTCATCCGCAAACTTGCTTATGTCACTGCTGATCCCAGTATCTAGATCGTTCATGTAGATTATGAACAAGAGTGGGCCCAGTACTGACCCCTGGGGGACCCCACTGGTTACACAGCCCCACTCAGATTTAACACCATCTATGCTGACCCTCTGTGTTCTATCGGTGAGCCATGATTTTATCCAATTTAAAACTTTCCCCTCGATACCATGAGCCTTAACTTTTCTCAGAAGCCTCTGATGCGGTACTCTGTCAAATGCTTTGCGAAAGTCTAAGTAAATAATATCGTAATTTTCGTCATTATCTATTACCTAAAAAACGTCATCAGATTTGTTAGACAAGATTTTCCCTTTGTGGACCCATGTTGAGAGTCGTAGATTAATTTGCTTTTCTCTAAAAGCTATCGGATGCTATTTGCTATAATTGATTCAAGAAATTTCCCCACTTCTGACATCAAACTGATCGGCCGGTAATTTTACGTGGCCATGGAGACACCAGGTGCTGTGGTGTTCACGTGGTGCAATAACTCGTCCTCGGGTGTTGATATGAAGGACCTCACGTGGCCATGGAGACACCGGGTGGTGATCACGTGGTATAGTAACTCATCCGTAGGTGTTGATATGAAGGACCTCACGTTGTTATGGATTAATTTAACTAATTATTTTATTTTTGCCACCTACAACGGCTAGTGTATTGTGCACCCCATACTCATCCTGTGAGCGGTAGCGCAAAATGATTACAGAGTAGAGTTAACAAAGGGTCAGTGTAACTAACCCCTGTGGTCAGGATATTATGGCACTGAATCTTACACAGTATTTCAAATAAATTCATTGTTTAGTTCTACTGTATACATAAAGGGTAACTTATTCGCAACTGCGTGAGGCTATATGTCTGGCCCTACACTTTGTTATTCACATTTGCGAGAGAGGTATTCAAGCACATTGTGTGTTTGGTTCTATACATGTGAACTGATACAGCTACTAAGTGCAAAATAGTGGATACACTCTTAATATGCCGGCTATCTTGCCATTAGAGATAAAGTGTTGTGCCATTTCAGACATAGTGTGCTTTGACCTGTCTCTAAAAGGTTCTAGCTTCACACAGTCGAGGACATAGTGTTCAAGTGTGTGGCCATATGTCTGGTCACACACTTTATATTTACTTTTGTTCACATCTGCTTGAGGGATATACTGCCAGAGGTACTTATATCCTAATCTTAGTCTATCGGTTACAACATCTTGTAACCTATTGATCTTGTTACTTGCTCCATATACTGTATATGTTTCACTTGATACATCTCAATGAGACATCATGGTGAACAATGGATTGACTAGTGCCTGTTTGCACTTGTCTGCTTGCGTCAAATTCATCAATAAGTTCTTTCCTGATTACAGTTTTAAGGGTTCTTTTTGACAGACCCAGATTGTATTCAACAGTGCCTTTGTTTGACGCGAATTTGGCGAGGGCATCAACTCTGTCATGTTCCGTGAGGCCTAAGTGAGAGGGGATCCACAACAGTTTGATCTTGACACCCCGGTCAACATGGTACGCATATTTGTGTCTGGCATCAGAGACAAGCGCTTGACAACTGAAGTTGAGGGTGTCAAGTACAAGAAGTGAGGATAGAGATTCAGTGATGATAAGACTGTCAATCACAGTGGTTTCAATAGAGTTAAAAGCTGTGAGTATGGCAACTACTTCAGTTTGTAAAGTGGATGCCCAGTTGTTAATTCTAACTCCTTTTTCAATTTTATTACCGTTAGGTTGAGTCACAACGATAACACTTACAGCCTTCCCACAGGCGATGTTAAGAGATCCGTCAGTGTAGATGGTCTGTGTAATATTATCATCAGTCTGTAGAGTGTGTATGTGTTCAAGAGCTCTCACTTTGGCAGTGTGTTGGAGATAAATACTTTGTATAATTAATCTTTTAGGTGGATCTGTCGGTATTATGATATCATGGAGATACCGTGTGGTGTGGGGTGGTGTCACAGTACCTCACTCTCTGCTAGGTGATGTTGTGTTATCTCGTAGTCATGTGTAAGGCCGACCCACTGTTGGTCCCTGGGTGGACTGATTAACACTGCCTGGTCAGAAGATGGTGGTCAGTTCACAGGGGTGCTCATCTCACTGGCGGGTCACTGCTCTTGCTGAAACTGTCTAGTGCTGAACTCACCGGCTTAAACACTGTTCATCACTGTTCAACACTGATCCCACTTGTTTCCAAAACGAAATTGTCACTTTTGACGGGATTATGGTGATATACCAGTTGTGAGGATGGGTCGGGGAGAGGGACTTGAGAGGAATGGGCCAGAACATTGGCCGGGGCACGAAATATTTTTTCCTGAGGCTTCTGTCAGCTAGAACAAGCGGCAAAGTCGCAGTGTTTGAAGCTTGGTACCACTGTACAATCAGCTGGTGGCAGAATGGCGGAGTCGGCACCCTACACCAACAGCAAGAATTAGTTCTATCTTGGCCGTGCTAGGTAGGTTAGGTTAGGTTAGGTGAGGCTAGGTTAGGTTAGTATCAGTTTGTATTAGTACCTATTACGTTAGGATATGCAATATTAGGCCAAGCACGAATGATCTTCTCTTATTCCCTCTTTCTTACGGAGTGTACAGTGGTGCCGCGTTTCAAACACTGTGACCTTGCCGCTTGTTCTAGATGACAGAAGCCCTCAGGAAAAAAAAAAATCGCGGCCGGGGCAGCTGCCGCAGCAGGAGCGAGCACCTATAGATCTTGACCCTCCAGTGGTCAAGGATGCAGTGAACTCAGTAATCCTTTTACGCTACCGCTCACAGTATGAATATGGGGTGCACAGTAAACTAGCCGCTGTATGTGACCAAAAAAAATAATTCGCTCCCTCAACCAACATGTATGTATGTATGTATGTATGTATGTATGTATGTATGTATGTATGTATGTATGTATGTATGTATGTATGACTTATGTATGTATGTATGTATGTACGTATGTATGTATGTATGTACGTATGTACGTACGTATGTATGTATGTATGTATGTATGTATGTACGTACTTGGGATATTCGTCATACATTACAAGCTTCTCTCCCGTTAGACACAGAGCATCACTTACTTTATATCACCTGTACAGTACCTGGTGGGTGTATCGGAGGCGTGTTTCCTCGTGAAAGTCCTCAACAAAAAGCAGGTGCGTCGGCGCTTCCTTCGCCAGGGTTACACCACGCTGGGCTCTTTTGTCAACACACAGGGTAAAAACGGAATGCCAGAGCGTGTGGTGGGCGTAACGGGTGTGTGATGGGTGTGACGACGGGAGAGTCCTGGGCCAGGTATATAGTGGCCATACCTGCTAGTAGTCTCCCTCACCCCCACACACACCCACTACCCGACCAACATAATGAACACCCGTCTCCATTTGGCCGTGTATAGAACCTAACACAATATGCTTGAATACCTCTCACGCAAATGTGAATAAGAAAGTGTGTGGCCAGACCAACTGCCTCACACTGCTGTACTCACGCAATCACGAAGTTATCCTCTATGTACAGAACTAAACAAAGAATACATTTGAAATAAGCTGTAATATTCAATGCCATAATATCCTGACCTCGGGGGTTAGTTATACTGACCCTTTGTGAACTCTACTCTGTAATCCTTTTGCACTACCGCTCACAGTATGAGTATGGAGTGCACAATAAACTTGCTGCTGTACTTGACAAAAAAATAATAATTCCCCGCTCGCCCAAGACGACGCAACACTGACAGAAAAACAAACATAAATAGGAAAATGTGTAAATTGGATTCGTGAGTGTGTTGCAAGTGTGTTTGTCCGGACGGGTGGTAACCAGTGTAATACTCTGGTGACTAAATACAAAACCAAGAGAAGCACATTACAGCTTATTATATAATATATATTATTTTAGAATTTTGTAAGCGAGAAATGTTGTTATAAGTAACGATGAAGGAATAAAAAAAATGGTAAAGTAATTAAAAAAATATTTTGTTGATAATATTTTTTTATTGTAGAGTAAATTAACTTGGTAAAATTAATATATTTGTAAAAAAAAGAACTTTGGAGTTATTGATGTTAATATAAAATTAACAGATATTTTTAGTGGGAATAGAAATAAAACCCAAATAATAATAATGACGGTTAGGAACAAAGAACTTTATCAGGTGAAAGAGTTGAGTATTTAGTAAGTAACAATAATTGTGTTTGTTTATATGAAAAGGAAATGAAAACAGAAGAGGTCAAACTTAAACAACTTTTGATGAGTTTAGAGGTTTGTTAAAAAGACAATAAAATTAGTTTGAGGAAATGGCTGATGTAATACTGTTGTGTGGATCAGAACTGTTGTGTGGATCAGAACTATTGTGTGGATCAGAACTATTGTGTGGATCAGAACTATTGTGTGGATCAGAACTGTTGTGTGGATCAGAACTATTGTGTGGATCAGAACTATTGTGTGGATCAGAACTATTGTGTGGATCAGAACTGTTGTGTGGATCAGAACTATTGTGTGGATCAGAACTGTTGTGTGGATCAGAACTATTGTGTGGATCAGAACTATTGTGTGCATCAGAACTATTGTGTGGATCAGAACTATTGTGTGGATCAGAACTATTGCGTGGATCAGAACTGTTGTGTGGATCAGAACTATTGTGGTCAGAACTATTGTTGGATCAGAACTATTGTGTGGATCAGAACTATTGTGTGGATCAGAACTATTGTGCTTCAGAATTGTGTGTGGATCAGACTATTGTGGTCAGAACTATTGTGTGATCAGAACTATTGTGTGCATCAGAACTGTTGTGTGGATCAGAACTATTGTGTGCATCAGAATTATTAGAACTGTTGTGTCAATCAGAACTATTGTGTGGATCAGTGGATCAGAACTACTGTGTGCATCAGAACAGAACTATTGTGTGGATCAGAACTATTGTGTGGATCAGAACTATTGTGCAGAACTGTTGTGTGAAAGGATCCAGAACTGTGTGCATCAAGGAATTGTGAATCAGAACTATTGTATGGATCAGAACTATTGTGTGGATCAGAACTATTGTGTGAATCAGAACTATTGTGTGGATCAGAACTATTGTGTGCATCAGAATTATTGTGTGGATCAGAACTATTGTGTGGATCAGAACTATTGTGTGGATCAGAACTATTGTGTTAATCAGAACTGTTGTGTGGATCAGAACTATTGTGTGGATCAGAACTATTGTGTGAATCAGAACTATTGTGTGAATCAGAACTATTGTGTGGATCAGAACTATTGTGTGCATCAGAACTATTGTGTGGATCAGAACTATTGTGTGGATCAGAACTATTGTGTGGATCAGAACTATTGTGTGCATCAGAATTATTGTGTGGATCAGAACTATTGTGTGGATCAGAACTATTGTGTGGATCAGAACTATTGTGTGGATCAGAACTGTTATGGGGATCAGAACTGTTAAGTGAATCAGAACTATTGTGTGGATCAGAACTATTGTGTGCTTCAGAATTATTGTATGGATCAGAACTACTGTGTGGATCAGAACTATTGTGTGAATCAGAACTATTGTGTGGATCAGAACTATTGTGTGGATCAGAACTATTGTGTGCATCAGAATTATTGTGTTAATTAGAACTATTGTGTGAATCAGAACTATTGTGTGGATCAGAACTATTGTGTGGATCAGAACTATTGTGTGGATCAGAACTATTGTGTGGATCAGAACTATTGTGTTAATTAGAACTATTGTGTGAATCAGAACTATTGTGTTAATTAGAACTATTGTGTGAATCAGAACTATTGTGTGGATCAGAACTATTGTGTGGATCAGAACTATTGTGTGGATCAGAACTATTGTGTTAATTAGAACTATTGTGTTAATCAGAACTATTGTGTGGATCAGAACTATTGTGTGGATCAAAACTATTGTGTGAATCAGAACTATTGTGTGGATCAGAACTATTGTGTGGATCAGAACTATTGTGTGGATCAGAACTATTGTGTTAATCAGAACTGTTGTGTGGATCAGAACTATTGTGTGGATCAGAACTATTGTGTTAATCAGAACTGTTGTGTGGATCAGAACTATTGTGTGGATCAGAACTATTGTGTGCATCAGAATTATTGTGTGAATCAGAACTATTGTGTGGATCAGAACTATTGAGTGGATCAGAACTATTGTGTGGATCAGAACTATTGTGTGGATCAGAACTATTGAGTGGATCAGAACTATTGTGTGGATCAGAACTGTTGTGTGGATCAGAACTGTTGTGTGGATCAGAACTGTTGTGTCAATAAAAAAAACTGGACACCCACACACTTTCATCAGACCCCAGAAAGAGGTTAAAGACCTTTATAAACTGGTGTTACAGGATAATACTAAAACTAATACAGAAAGACAAATTAAAAAAAAATACTAATACCGTCTATAAAAAATCACAAATACTAATAAATACTTGAATTAGAAGAAATTAAATAAACGTGTAATTAAGTATTGGATACAGATAGATAAATTAAGGGTAACATTTATAGTAGAAGTGGTCAGGGGGAAGACACAATTGAGCTAAGACGGGTAGAATTCTTTTTTGTATTGATAAAGAATGACTGAATTTTTTTGTAGTGGAGCGCCGAAGTCACCGACCCTTAGATACCATTGATTGAACCTCCCTTTAGGAGAGGAATTTGTTTTTAAATTCCCATCACAGAACAAGACTATTCCCTGATTGGTGACTAGTTAAGTAATCCCCGACCTGTTACTCAGAAAATTGAGAGAGAGAGAGAGAGAGAGAGAGAGAGAGAGAGAGAGAGAGAGAGAGAGAGAGAGAGAGTGTATATTAACCTAAGTGAACATTCTGAACGCTGTGTACTGAACTAAGTGAACTTTCTGATTGCAGCATTAACTGAAATAACAAAAAAAATCTAATCACAACAAAAAACTAAAATTAAGGGAACTTTCTTAACATAACTTGGTAAAAAATCTCTTTAACATACGTGCAGGAGGGAACAGCTCGTAGAGAGATATAAATTGCTAAATGAACAGCCTCCACTAGACCCAAACAGCTGCTGTGGGCGAGGCAACTCCTTAATCTGAACAACTTCGGCTGTAAAACACTCGCCAGAATATAATAAGCCGCCAAGTTATTAATTTAGCCTTTAAAGTTAAGTTGCATCGCCAAATATCGAAGTTGTATTGCAAGTTGTTGATTATTTCTTAGGGTTTAAAGCTCACTCGATGTCTTTGCTATTTGTTTATCTATCTAGCTAGCCAATATACAGTATGCTATTTGTCTAAGGAACTATACAACTAGGCAATATCTGCTATTTATCTATCTACCTAGATGGGCGGGTGGGCAAATCAACAGAAGGTGGGTAATTGGTAAGCAAGCAACTCGGCAAAAGTTGGATGGGCGACTGAGTGGGTGGGTAAGAGCACCTATGTTGTACCTCGTGTGTTGGTTATACAAGTTTTGCTTAGTTGTCTCACAGAGTTTCCCTCCTCCTCCCTCCTCTTCCTCCTTTCCTCCTACTCTTCCTTCTTCTCTTCCTCCCCTCTTCCTCTACTCCCCCTGACAGAGCACTTTCATCTTCCTCTTCCTATTCCTCTTCCTCCTCATCCTCCTTGTCCACCACCTCCTCCACCACCACCACCTCCCTCCTCCTCTCTTCCTCCTTCTTCCTCCTCCTCTTCTTCCACCTCCTCCTCCGACCTACAACTCGACAAATGCAAATACTCACTGGCCAAGTTTGCCAAACATTCACCTGCAGGTAATTAGTGTGTGAGGAACCCCGTAAAA